CAGTGCTTGGCGTTTTCCTTATCACTTGTCATAGACAATAACGAATAAATATTTGTGGCACTTAGAATAATAAGCAACGAATTAAGCTGAAAACTATCGAAATCGCTATTCAAAAAAGTTAGAATGCTTTGAACTTTACCAAAAAATCTGGTGCGCTACTTGTTTTGGATCTGAGTGTTCAAATAATACGGCGTTGTGATGTTTGAAAAAATATTGTTCCGACTAAACGTTTTCACTTATCGGCGTTTGCACCAAATCTTTAAGGAAATTAAAAACTTCAGTTCACTTCATGGAAAATTCTATTAGCACCATCTACGACAATACACTTGATAGAAGCTTTGCACATTTTTCAACACCAAAAACATATGTGAAAAATCGAATCATTACGGTGAGTATTATTAGTATTAACAACTTGAGCAAGTGTATAATTTACTGCTAATAGATCTTAAATCTACTTGTATGCCTGTTCGCTCGAATAAAATATAACCTTATTTACAGTCGGGATATATTACAGCTAACCAGTTAAACAAAACCGATTTTCCTAAATAACTCCTCTCGTCAGCATTCAAGCTGACCTATGGGTTGTCCCAAAAATCGCGCTTCAACCAGTCAAAGTGAATCGATAATATGAAAACTTATCTTCATTTTTATTGACTCAGATCAATATTTTAGAAGGAGCAGGGCAAATAAGTTAGAAAATGCAATTTTGGTTCTTCAGCGGATAATGCACTCTTGAAACAGGGTGGTACTCAACTAATGGGACAAATTCGCTAACATATTGGCTAGCTAAATTTTCTTTATCTGTAAAATAATTAATAAAGTTGTTGTTTTTCAGATATAAATAAATAAATAAATAAATCATTAATTACTTTCACTACTACCAAAAAAATGTGTTGGGGGGGTTTTTTAGATCGTACCTAGAGCTAGCTACGTTACACTGAGGTATAAAATGAAAATCACTTTGACTGACTTCAAATCGGCTTAGGTAATTAAGCAAGCAGTAAACATTCAAAAGCCCTAAACGCGCAATTTAGGACAGCCTCCACATCTCCGCCTTAACGCAGTAAACCTGAAGCTGGATTTTAAGCCGTCGCAACATCCAAGACATAAAAGAAATTCACAGCGGACTGATTTTTGTTTCTAACAAAGCAAATACATTTTTTTTTCCAAAAAATTTACTTTTCAATACATTTTGCACGTTGAGCCAGCGCTGCCTTAAGCAGCAGCTCGGAAAATTAAAATGAATCATTCAGCACCTACCGCTTATACCTTACGGTTCCATACGGATGCTACAAATGCCCACGCGCCTATTCATTAGTTTATTTTTCATTTTCTTACGTCTGACGCTACGACGACTATTTATGCAGCTTAACGATCCTCGCCCAGCCATTAAGTCCCGCACGACTAGGGCAAAGATCAGTCCCAGAATTTAACCTTTGCAATGATGGCACCCTGAGTGTAAGAAACAATTGAAAAATGCTTTAAAACTAGTACTGGAATGTGAAATGCAAATGATTCTGATAACTAATGACTCACGACTGAGACTGCGCCACTTTGTGCTTGGCACGCGCCTCAGTCATGACGTAATTGTTGGGCAGCGCCCGAGGAATTTCCGGCAACTTGTCGCCCGGATGTCGATGGCTGACCGACGCCAGTTTCCGGCCTCCCTTCTGGATGCGCGTGTTGCTCAACCCGGAAACCGGATACTTTTCCCTGGAAGAGTTCCGGACGCGAGGCGGCGACACTTCTCCTGGATGTTTGGGCATCACGAAAGCCTTGGTTTGCTTGATCAGCGACCTGTCATTGCACAGAGCGGAAATGAGGGGCAAGTCCAGCTTTTTGCTTTTCTCGCGCAGCGTGCGAATATCCAACGCCCGCGTCTCACTCGTCTTGCTTCCATCACCCGGACAGTCACTCTTAACATCTAGCAGATTGTGGCGCTTGAGCAAGTCGCGGTTCTTCTCTGGAAGAGGCGGCGGCGGAGGCGGGAGCCTCCGGAATTTCGGAGGCTGCGGCGTAGCCTCCAGCGAGTTCAGAATGTTATCATCCGACTGAGTCCTCAAAAACCTGGTCGGCCGGTTAGGAGGCAGAGGCGGCGGCGGGGGATCCAAGCTGCCGGTTGACGAGATGCTCGGAGCCCCATAAACAGGCAACTGCACATATGTATCGGATAAATTCTGACTGGACGCATATCTCCCTAAGTAGGGCGTGCTGCGGTAGAAAACTGGCTGATGAGCCAGCGCGGCCAAAATAGAGCCCTGCTTGGCTTCCAGATATTCCTGCTTGCTAATCGCCGGCTCCTTCAACGGGAACACCACAAAGTCCACATCGCTGTACATCTGCTGCTGATACTGCTCAATCTGCGACCTGGATAGTTGACTGGTGTAGACAGTAGCCAGGCCGGGAGGCGGCGGAGGCGGTTGCCTAGGAGCTGGCTGGGGCGGCGGAGGAGGCAAGAACGTACAGGGCACCAAGACGCTGGCCTTTGGAGACGCCATGTCGATAAAGCTGCCTGAATTGAGCATCGCTCTACTGATCGGCAACTGTCTTGGTATCTTCGGAGGAATGGGCGGCAATGAACTGGCAGCTGAATAGCTCGGTGTTGAGCTCACACTCACAGCACTGGCGTGAGCCGTGAGGATACTCGGGGATCGGGTAGTGATGAACCGGGCTGCCGCCTCCTCAAAGGGGTAGATCGGGGCGGGCGCTGGAGGGCCGTTATCCGGGTAAGGAGGCGGGTTGCTAGTGGAGGCTTCCACAAACGGGTTGGGGGCTTCCGGAGTGTTTTTAGTTGGATACGGAGGCGGAGGAGGCCGGAACCGCGGCTCGACGCTGTCGACCCTCTTTGGAGGCACGGGCGCGAAGCTCTGGTATCCAGAGGGCAACGTCACATAATCGGAGTCCGAGTCCAAGGTGTTACTGACGCTTTTTCTGGACGGATACCGTCCGACGATGAGATCCGACAACTCCTCAGCAGACAGCAAGTTCTGTTTGTTGGTAGGATCGCTTCCATCCCCGTGAAACGATGAGTTGCTAATGGTCGAATCCGCCCTGTCCCTAAAGCCGCCATCGACGTGATCACTGCCCATCGTAAGAAAAGAGGACTCAGTAGTGACAGCATATTCACTGGCATTCGTGTAGTTTCCTGCAGAACTCAAAGTGCAATGTTCGCTGGAGGTTAAAGTGTACACGCCACTCGTGTGGCTACTGGGGGCAGGCCCTGAGGTATAAACTGGCTCTCTGGTGTCGATTTCTATGCAAGTCGCATCGCTGAGGGCTGAGTTTTGCGCGGTATGCGAATAGCCCAACTCTAAGCTGCTGCTGGTTGATGGCCGTCGTTTCTTGGGCTCTGAAAGGGCAATCATCAGCAATGTTCGAGACTGCGTGAAGGTTTGCTTACTGGTTTGGCTAACTGGCGTCACCACCACGGTGCTACAATAGGAGCTACACTGCGAGCCGGCGCACTTGACACTGCTAGAGGTCTTTCCGGAGCTCTCACTTGTAGTTTGTTTGGGCGCCTCCTCCTCATCCTCCTGAATGGAAAGCGAGGCGAGGGCCGCCGTGGCTGAAGCCGCCGAGGTCCTGCTGCTAGCTGGGGCACTGTCCAGCAGGTGAGCTAGAGCTAGACTCTCGGTACTGGGAGCCGGAGGGCTGGTAATCATGATCTCCAATTCATCTTCTGAATGTACCTGGTGAAACTCTTGCCCATGAACATTGAGTTGCAGATTAGCTTGCTGATAGACTCACCCGATCACTCACAATTCCCGACGTAGTGTTTGACGATGTCGAACTGATCACTGAGACGCGCTGATCGCAACCCCATCTCTGACGTTCCTCCTCCTCTTTCCGCGCCTCGTGCAGCCTGGGGGCCACATACATGCTGAACTGGTGCGTTGCTCTGCACAGCGCCAACAGCAGGCGGCTCTTCTCGTCGCTGGACGTGTACAGAGTCAGCTTCTCGTGGCTGGTGCGGATCTCAAACTTCTTCCGTTCGAAACTTAGCTTACTGATGCTACTCCATAGGAATGTGGACGGGGGGTTATTCTCAGGGCAAACCCGCAAGCCTTTGGCACAGACTGCCAACAGGAGCGATCCTGGTAAGGGTTCAGCTTTGGAAGCTTTTAACCTGGAAGTTTCAAAAGTTGGTTTCAGTTCAACAGGAAATGAGAGCTACTGTTTTGCGACGCTCTCCAATTGTTTACAGAATTTTCAGAAAATTTTCCATTCTTTATCTGATGATTTATCTCATCTGTGACGGAAAATCTTCTCTCAGTATCTTCGCAAAAATGTTCAGAATTTATTGATATTGTGAGATGATTCGGGCCACGAAAGAAACATAGAATCACCATAATCACACAGAAAATATCGTTGTGATCAAGCATGGATTAAAACTGATTTTTTTAACGGACTAAACAGCAGAGAAATATAAAACATCGTTTTCAAGAAAATGACACAAAATAGCTGCCGCGAAATGATCACCACTAAAAGTTTAGTTTTTTTATGCGAATTATTGATTTTTGAAATTTGCTCATGGTTTTCCATGAAAAATCATCCGTTGTTGCTTGATTGAAAGATTATTTATTTGTGTAGAAACTAACGCTTTTTGCAAATGTGGTACTAAATTGGCATTATCTCCAGTGGCGTAGAAGCTAGGAGCAAAACAATCCCACCTAAATGCTTTAAGCGTTTCATACAATAAAATTGATTTTTTCTCGACAGAAAAAATAAATAACATCGTTTTCAGGAAAATAATACAAAATAACTGGCGCAAAATGATCACCAGCAAAAGTTTAATTTTTTAAGCAAATTATTGATTTTTGAAATTTGCTCATGGTTTTTATCAAAAATCATCCGTTGTTGCTTGAAAACCGTCAAGGTTTAAATTTTTTACAAAGATTATTTATTTGCGTAGAAACTAACGCTTTTTGCAAATGCGGTACTAAATTGGCATTATCTCCAGTGGCGTAGAAGCTAAGAGCAAAACAGTCGCACCTAAATACTTTAAGTGTTTCATACAATAAAATTGATTTTTTTTCGACCGAAAAAATAAATAACACCGTTTTCAAGAAAATAATACAAAATAACTGGCGCGAAGTGATCACCAGCAAAAGTTTAATTTTTTTAAGCAAATTATTGATTTCTGAAATTTGCTCATGGTTTTTCATCAAACAATGCGTTTTTGCCTGAAAACGATGAAGGTTATAATTTTTACAAAGAGTATTCATTTGCCTAAAAACTAACGCTTTTCGCAAATGCGTTACTAAACTGGCATTATCTCCAGTGGCGTAGAAGCTAGGAACAAAACAATCCCATCTAAATATTTTAAGTGTTTCATACAATAAAATTGATTTTTTTTGACCGAAAAAATAAATAACATCGTTTTCAAGAAAAAAATACAAAATAACTGGCGCGAAGTGATCACCAGCAAAAGTTTAATTTTTTGAAGCGAATTATTGATTTCTGAAATTTGCTCATGGCTTTTCATCAAAAAATGCGTTTTGCTTGAAAACGGTCAAGGTTTTAATTTTTTACAAAGAGTATTTATTTGAGTAGAAACTAACGCTTTTTGCAAATGCTGTACTAAATTGTCATTATCTCCAGTGGCGTAGAGGTTAGGAGCAAAACAATCCCACCTCAATACTTTAAATGTTTTATATAATTAAATTGATTGTTTCCAACTGACTAATCAACAGAAAAAATGAAAACATCGTTTCCAAGAAAATGAAAGAACATAACTATCGCGAAATGATCACCAGTGAACGTTTAATTTTTTTAAGCGAATTATTGATTTTTGAGATTTTGCTCGTTTTCGTCAAAAATATGATTTTTGCTCGAAAACGGCCAAGGTTTCAATTTTTTGCAAAAAATACTTTTTTGTGTAGAAAACAACGGCTTTTTAAAATGCGCTATCAAATTAGCATTTTCATCAGTGTCGTCGAAGTAAGAAGCAAACATTCCCACTCAAGCACTTTATGAGTGCTTTAGTCCCACTCAACACCCAAAATTTACAACAGAGCTCGTGGAAAAAAATTGGCTAAAAGCTCATAAAGTAGATATTTGTATTAAAAAGACGTGTTCAAAACTTCAATTGACTGCCTGAAATAATTCGGAAGTTATGAACGAAATGAACCTTTGTGCATGCATTTTTCAACACACTAGTGAAGGTATGCCAGTTTAGTTCGGAGCACCCTGCACAAATTCAAATTATGTCTTATCAACAAAAAAATAAAAACATCGTTTCCCAGAAAATGAGACAAAATAATCACCAGAGACATTTTTTAAGCCATATATTGGTTTTTGAAATTTTGTTTATGTTTTTGTCGAAAGATGCATTTTTGCTCAAAAACGGTTAAAGTTACAATTTTTTACAAAAGAGTACTCTTTTGTGTAGAAGACAACGGCATTTTAAAATGCGCTATTAAATTAGCATTTTTATCAGTGGCGTCGAAGTTAGAAGCAAGTAATTCCATTCAAGCACTTTATAAGTGTCTTAGCCTCACTCAACACCCAAAATTTGCAACAGATCAAGTTGTTGTGAATGCATTTTTTCAACACACTAGTGCAGTTATTCCAGGTTAATTCGGACCACCCTGTACACTTAAGTGAAACAAATGCAAATTATGCCTCAGGAATTATGTGGAATGTGTGAATTAAATCGCAGTAAATTTTTACTTTTAGGGTAACGTTGAGAGAGTAAAACTGTTCAAATGATTGCGTCTATCGCAGTTTTTGTTCAGTTCCCTACCTAAACACATGTGCGTTAACTGGTTCCTGTAGCTGGCAAGCTTCAGCAATAAACTGGGACCGAGCCTCGATCTTCGAAAGAACCCGATGCGATCTATGGGCTGTCTCGATAGCCCGTAGCGCAGCTGGTCCTCGCATGTTCGGTGGCACGTAATCTTCTGGTCTATAACTGCAACCAACCGAAAAACTTGTTCAGTTCCTGCCGAATTGAGCCTGCAGCCATGCTCATACCTAGAATTTTCATTAAAGTCGCCCAAATCCTGCTGAAGGGCCAATCCCGCCAATGGGATTGCGTGTTCTCCGGCCGCCCCTGAAGCCGCGTTGAGCCGCAGCTGCAGGTAGTAGTGGTGTCTGGTGGTGTCGTCGCGCAGGAGTAGCGGACTGTCCACGTAAAACTGGACACGGAAGTAAAAGGCCAAAGCCGGACGTCCGTTTGCGTCCAGTCCATGGCTGTGGGATGAACGCCAACTTTTCGGCGCGTACTTAGAGAGCTTACTGTCGAGTTCGGCAAACAGATATTCACCATCTGTAATAAAAAAAATCTATTCTATATTTTTATGTCATATTAGACC